ATAAAATATTATGTATGTAAATTCAAAATTTTTCCCTATTTTTTAACCACACATTCTCCTAAAAATACTATTCAACTCTTTTTTTTTTAAATAACGGGCACCAAACATGGGCTAAAAAGTAATGAAAGATTTTGAGTTTATGTGCAAAATATTTTATTACGTGAATATATGATTGAAAAATGAGTACGTAGAAAAATAGCTCTCAAATAGGGATTAAATGTGTGACTTAATTTTTAACGTTGACTCATCTGCATACAAAATAAGCTCCACATTTAGACTTATTTCTCTAACATGAGCCACCCAAACATGCAACACTAATAGAATTTAAATCCCCTACTGTTCCCACACCATTAAGGTTGAATATTTATAGATAGAAAAGAAAGCTAATGTCGAATGCGGTTTGAGCAAACCATATTTACTCCAAACAATACAAGGTAAAGAAGGGCATAAAAGATTGATCGTGTGAAGTTCGATTAGAAACCCTTGGGCAGACTTGACCTTGGATAGCAGTACTTGACTTGTTTTTGTGCAGGGCAATAATTCGATTTAATACATGCAACATGCCTTGATCTGTGAACTTTTCTAGCTATTCTCAATCATTTAAACTCATTGTGACTAACGAAGACACGATTTAAATTGAATTTTGTAGATTGTCGTGATTTTAGTGATGATCGAACGTAATTACCACAAGAGAGCACACAATTTAGGCCATGTTTATCTCCCATTATTCTAAAACATTGTTTGCTACAGTAAGATTCTCTACCACACATTCACTCAATAAAATATTTTACACACAAACTAATAAAGTTACTTTAAATTTCAACAACAGATTCTCTAAAAAATACTATTCATTACTCTATTTTTTCTACAATAATGAAAGGCAAACACACACTTAATATATGATGAATTTGCTGTTTGGTCATCTAGGGAGTTAAGTTGGGAGCGCGAGAGTATGTGCTTGTCTAGACGTAATTCTTGCATGATTTTAATCAAAATTCTGGACATTGGATCCTTAATTATTGGCTTCAATATCAAAATTGTGATTGACTTGATCAAAATAGACGATATTAAAAATTTGCTACGAATGACTTCCAAACACATTAATCGATGTGTAACTCATTATCTTAGTCTAGTTGATAAGGTGCGAAAGCATTATGAAATTCTTATAATAAGAATTGAAAATCAAAATTATATTTGAATAATCTTGCTTTGTATTGATATATGATTGATTGTCTTGAAAAGTGTATAATACTCCTATATTTATAGACAAAATTATCATTAATCCTATTAATAAAAGGAAACTAAAATAACGAAACTAATAAAATCCTAATCTAATTAAAAATCATATTCTAATCAATAAATAAANTCATATTCTAAACAAGAAATAAGAATAAAAAGATAAAATATATTAGAATTAGAAAAGATAAATCACAATTGTAGTATGAAAAAATCAATCAATCTGGAGAAAAATACCTAAAAATTCTGCAAATACCAATATTGAAAAAATGACAATTTTTTGATGTGCTCGATAAACGCCATTATATTTTTCAGTTGCATTATTCAAAGTCAGCTTTATTCCTATCATTCTTGTTATATTTTCTTCACGGATAATTTGCAAATGACATTCCTTAAAAAATGAGCATGATTTGATTTCTCATAATTCAGTTCGCTCTCGATAGAGGCCACTTGTGTTATTTTCAATTTTTCGTACTTCTCACATTTTGCTATAATGTTTAGTGATACTTTCTTCAATACAAAAAATTGGTATGCGAATTCAAATCCTCATCGTCTATGTTTTCCTTATTTTATACAATTCTTTGACACTAATACTGTAGAAAATGTCAACATATTTTTTATTCTCAATTTGACAATCTTCACCTTTGACTCTTTCGTGATTGCAAAATTTAATTTCTTTCTCTCTTGATGGACACTTCTGATTTTCAACTTGTCCATCCTTGGAGTGCGGCTCGATCTTGAAGTTTTCAATTGCAGTTTCCATATACAAGGAATCAACAGGTCTCGAATTTTCAACTTGCACATGCTTTTCTTCTTCTGTTTTAGTAACATGGTTAGTAATATCTTGATCATCTTCAATTACTCAGTCTCATCATCTGCCATATAAGACTTTCTCTTTGTCATTCATAAATTGCTCATCATATGACACCAAAATAATCTTTTTATCGTACCACCTAAACACATATCTATTATCTCGACCTATGTAAGTGGCATCTACATCATAATACAATGGTTGTCCCCAAAGTACATGACAATTGTCCATCTCTACCACGTTACATATAATCTCATCTTTGTAACACTTTTCAAGAGAAAGTGAAATTTTAAATACCTCCATATTTTGAGTTTCTTGCCCCCGTGAAATCTGATAGAAAGATGAGTATTTTTCAGTTTTCAAATTTAAAGATTTCACCAATACTTTTGATACCAAGTTCTGACTAATTTTATAGTTTATTATGACTTTGCATACTTTGTTGTTGATGGTGTATCGTGTTTTAAAAATTTTGTTGCACTTTAAATTGGACTCTTCTATATTTTCTTCATAGACTTTCATAGAATCCTTGATAACATGTGTGTATTCAAATTTAGCTAGGACTTGAGGAAACTCTCTAACCACCTATTACCGTATTTTAATCTTGTTGAAACAACCAACTTTCATAATAGTTAAAGTCTGCAAATTCTTGTTAGCTTGCTTCTTCATGTGTTCGCGATTCCTTTCAAAACTCAACGTAGTCACCATCTGTGTGATGTTATGAAGAGTTTCATCAATCCCCTCGATTCGTTGTTCGAGTTTGTCGTCAACGGTTCGACTGCCACCATGACGATCATCGGTCATCAGATTGAGGCAATTTCCTTGCTCTGATACCAATTTTGGTATGGAAGCGTTATGAAATTCTTATAGTAAGAATTGAAAATCAAAATTATATCGGAATAATCTTACTTTATATTAATATATGATTGATTATCTTGAAAAGTGTACAATACTCCTATGTTTATAGACAAAATTATCTTTAATCCTATTAATAAAAGGAAACTAAAATAAAGAACTAATAAAATCATTATCTAATTAAAAATTATATTCTAATAAATAAACAAAATAAATCATATTCTAAATAAGAAATAAGAATAAAAAGATAAAACTTATTAGAATTATAAAAGATAAATCACAATTGTAGTAGAAAATTACTAATCATAATTATGTACTACATCACGATAACATCAAATTTGGTAGGTAACCGTAAAATCTTATTTCTATTTGATGCATCTTAAGAGTAGGGATAGGCGTGGGTTGGGTCGGTCGGTTTTTGCACAAACCCAAACCTAACCCAATATTATCGGTTTGTTCAAAATCCAACCAAATCCAACACATATAAATGTTGAAACCCAACCCAACCAACCCAATTATGTTTCGATCGGGTCGGGTTGGGTTGGTCGGTTTGAGACGACTTGCCACACAAATATTAAATTCATCCAATTTTTTGATTTAAAGTAACATTGATACAGTCATCAAATGTCAATAAACTTGAAAATTAAAATAGCACAATCCACTAATACATAATCTCTTGATGTTGAAACACATAGGAATAAAAGACTATCCTAAACTTGATTAATGGCTCATTGGCTTCACTTACTATAAAAAGTTACTAAAACATTCTATACAATCAACCTGATGTAATTGCAAAGAACTAGTAAATATTACATGTGCTGTGTTAAATGCTACATTTTTGCAATCTGGTAGAATGCTAACAGACCATGATGGCAGGTAATACGACATGTTTCTGAACTTTACCATTTTGTCATTTTTATCATCCATATTTGAAATGAATGCAGCACAAACTCCCGATGCAACTTCATATACATTAGCCTACAAAAGTATGGCTATTCATCAAGTGTTTAACGAGCAACTAAAGAACTTACAGAAAATTCAACGTGTAATGACGAAACTGTCAGAAAAATTCTTATATAAGAACGTGATGCAAACAAGGAGCATTAAAGAAAAAAAATATTTAAATAAATCCCTTTATAACTGCTTTAGCTTTTAAATGTCATTCAATATGGCATCAAAGCCAAGAAAGGTCCTTCACTGGAGTCCTCCGCCACTAATTCTGATGACTGCACTGCTTGGCTTTTGCCAAAAATGAATGCGGCTCAAATGTGAGTGGCATGTTGAAGGCACAAATAATTAAAATTTACCCCTCCTAAGTATATTAAACTTTAAGATGATTTGGTCATCCAATGAGGAGAATAATTTACAAAACTCCTCTTTACAATTTCAAATTTACCCGACTTTAATATCGAAGATAGGTTCTTATTCTTAAGTATTATCTCATGTAAACTATTTAATCTTGGTTTTTTTTTTTTTATTGGCGGGTCGGGGTTGGGTCGGTTTTTATCGGGTTGGGGGGGTTTACTCATAACCCGACCCGACCCGACCCGACCCGCTTAGACTTGCCAAAAATCGAATTGAGTGAAAAAAAAGGGAAAAAAATAGATCCAACCTGACTGGATTGGGTCGGTTCGATCGATTTTTTACCCACGCCTGCTTGAGAGAAACAAAAATGCAAATTGAGATACCATTATTCCAATTTGGAATTGGAATATAACCAACGTTGATGATGACGTCTGTGACCATTTCAACTAGTGGTGACGGCAGCACTTACCCTAGAACGAGGAAAAAAAAATACTGAAACTTTCCAAAAGTTTTATCTTAGTCACTAAGGATTATTTTGTCCCATTTTAGTCCCTCAAGTTTAAAATCCCGGTTTTCTTCCATCCAAAAATTGTTCTTTTTCCTGATGTGAACCCAAACGGACATCCGGGTATGACCAAGTTATTATTTTTAATGTTTCCATAGAGAATTTTATGCACCATGTAGATGGCTTGCGAAAAACGAAAGTGCAAAATCGTAGTGTTCGAGTATATATAATAGAATCAATTCATAGAGAAACAGATAGAAAGAGGAACGAAAGTTCTAGAGAAACTGCGAAATGGTGCTCTGGGAGATTACATTGGGAACGGCCTATTTTCTGGGTCTGAAACGAACATACAGACTGGCTCTCAAGATTCAGCGCAAGCTTATTAGTCCCAAGCATCCTAAGATCCGTCAATTTGCTCAAAGGTAGCCTTCTCTACCTTTTTTTTCTTGGCTTTGATTATATACATATCAGTAGTTAACCGATGTTCTATTACCGTTTGGCGATTCAATATTTTTTGGTTGTTGAATTTTATGGGTTTGATGTAATTGATAATATTGTTATGAAATTATAGTGATATGATTTCTTTGTCAGTGTAGTGATGGCGCATGATGAATTTTGTGGGTTTGATGTCATTAATACTGTTATTATGAAATACAGTTATTTTGATCATCTTTGTCAACGTCGGGATAATTGGGAAAAAAATTATATACCATAGGAAGCTTGATACAGTGCATGAGGATTCCGGTTACGGTTGTCCCTACAATGAATACGAAAAACTGCCTTCTAGTTTTGTAAGTTAAATAAATAAGAAACAAATAGAATGTTGTCAGGTAGATCGATTAATTTAACGAGGCTGGGCAGAAATGAAGTGTGTATTGTAGAAAAAGGTTAAAGCTTAAGAAAATCGAGATTTGATGGGAGAAACTGGTGAGGTATTAAAGGAAATATCTGGTTACGAGAAAAGATTGAAGATTAGTAATTTTGAATTCAGATGAGGAAATTAATATCCAATAGCCTATTTGGAAGATGGCAAGTGGGGAGGGAAAGCAAAATGATCCCATACAATCTATGCTCGGGAGAAATTGGAATGTTAAAGGGGATAAAAATGGAGTATTTTTCCTTAGTCATTTCTTTCTTTTCAGTTTAGGTATCATATTCTGTATTTTCCATCTGCTGAAGGGTTTGGGACGTCAATGGAATATTCCCGCGAAACTAAATGAAATACATTTTCTTTATTTTCTTTTCCTTTTCAATGACTTTATAGGAGCTTCATCACTGCCCTTTTGTTAACTTAGTGCTTGTTTGGTAGTGTTTTTTAAGTGGTTATAAGTTGTGAGTCCCACAGAATGTGTGGATAATAAGTAGGTAGTAAGTTGTGGTCCAGTGAAATATGTAAAAAAAAAGAAAAAATTATATTTGGCCAGCGTAAATATAATTTGAGTTTTGCCAAATATGATGTTAGTTTTTACTCCACACTGTCCAGCTTTTATCAACCAGAAAGCTTCTCGTTATGCTTTTTTGATGCACAAGGAAATAATTGAAATTTGGAGGGCACGTGATCATACAGCACTGCTTAGAGAAACACTGTAGTAATCTTTGTTGCAAACTATATGATTTTAGTTTCCTAAGATTCACTGGAAAACTTTTGTATTCCTCTAGTACACTGTTGTCCACATTATCGGTATATGTTTCATTTTTTTTTACTGCAGAGTAATTTAGGGCTCAAAATTTCTGGAGTTTAGGGAAAATGACGGATCTTTAGTAACGGTCTGACGGATAATTTCATTATTCATCACTTGCTTATGTTTCTTCAATCTTCTTGTTTATTGTAGTCCTCTAGAATTAGATAAGATGTTCCAATAATTGTCCTTTTCAAGAGATCTATTTTAGACTTTTGAATGGACTCTGCATGAGTTAAAACTCTCTTAGTCTCTTTCCTAATTGCTTGGTATCAAATCTTCTAATTAAAGCCTGTGATGTCCTTTTCTTCTTCTTCTTTTTTTTTTCCATTTTATTTACTGACATGCTAGCACTCTTCAACTGTTTTGATGGTCTATTTTAATGTTTTAGTTTTTCAAGTATATATAACTCGTGAGGCCATTTCATATGTATTGGTAGTAAGAATCAAGAATATTTTTTTTACTTTCCAAGCTTTAGTGGTTAGAGAGGTGGAATGTGAGAGCATCCCATAACGGTGTGGGAAACTCAAAATGATATCAACATATATACGATGCAGAAATAGGCCCAGATACCCATTTGGTTTTTCGTAAGTCATTCATGTTCAATGGGCCAGTTGGGCAATGATGTAATGAATGTGTTGCCTGAACGAGGATGGAACTTACTAGAATTCTGGAGAAACCTTTGGGAATCCTAGGGAAGTGTTCAGAAAGTATTTTTGTAAGAATAAAACATAAACTTTATATCAGTTTCTGCAATCAAAATAAACTGACGTAAAGTTTACTTTCTCTAATACTTTTCAAGTACTTATCACTTTAGTTTATTATGTGGATATTTCAATGGTCAAAAGGTTTCAAAACTTGCACGAGTTCATTTGAAGTTACTTTAAAAATTTTGAATTTGATTCTCCATGTAATCCAGTGTTCCATTCCTTTTTATATTTCTCAAGTATGCTGTCCTCTTCTATTTTGTTATTTTCGCTTCCACTCTATTCATTGGTTTCTATATCTTTGCCATCATTCAAATAGACAATATGTTTCTTCATTTAAAGTCCTTGCCACAGTGCAACAGTTATACTTCTGTTTTGAGCTTTGTTAGATCCATTTACACATTAATTTGCTAGAGTTGTTTGAGTCGATGCCACTTCAATTTCATTATTGTGGTTCAACTTTATTGGTTTTTGCTTTACCAAGTTGAGATTAGCTTAACTTGACTAGTTTTAGTGAATTGATCACTCATGGCAGTAAATATTTGCAACCAACTGATTCTTGGAAAGGGGGAGAAAAGATTCCTAAAGCAATAATAAAGTTGACAAACTATTGATTTGGTCATATGAATTTCACTCCTAAAAAAAATCACATGAATTACTTTCTTACGAGGAAGTTAATTATATATAGTAAACTGATATTACAGTAAGTGTTGTACTTGAAAACACTAAATGTTGGAAGGTTGAGTTATAGGGACCATCAGCAGGATTCTATTGACTGCAAAAATATTATTGAGGAACAGATACTCCTGGCTTCATTGACAATACAGGGGCTGATCTACAGCTGTCCATCTCCATCTTTCATGAATCTTCTTCAAATTTGTGAATTTATTGGGTTAAAAATGTGAAACACTAAACTTTGGCATATCAACCTGAAAGATGTTGGCTGATAGGAAATAAACACTTAACTTTTAATCTGCCTGCTGCCTGCTCTGTCTGTGTTTTCTGTATCAATTGATTTAAGTGTGAGTGCCACCTGTCACAAGGCTAGATCTGTTATTTGTCTTATTTCTATTAGAACTGAATTAATCTGTAGGACTAGCAACTCATTTTGTAGAAGAATTCCTCTTGAAGGGTCACTTTGCAGTTGATCTTGCTAGTTATTGACAGATTACATATTTGCTCAAGACCTTTTATCTAGTCGTTGCATTAGTAATCATTCTTCCATTTGATTCATAGTTTATTTGTTACTTCTGTGATGTTGTATCTGTTGTTGATTCAGCCATTTGACATTAGGGGACCATGTATACCTTTCAGGTTGGTTCCATCAATAGATTAAATGAACGGAAACTCTGCTTAAGAGGATTAGATTTGGTCAATATGGTGTAGGGGGTGCAAGACACTAGTCATCCTTGACTTTGCTAACGATTTCATTTCAGCCTCTTAACTTTGTGTCTCCGTCTCTGTGGTGTGAGTGAATTTGTCCGTTTAACTTACAACATGTTTCATTTTTCTGCTTTATCTTTTAGTCAAGTGTCTGATAGGCACCAACTCAGATTATGAAGCAAAAGAGCGGAAAGTAAATTTGTAATTGTATTACTAAATAAACTGGAAAGGAATTACCAGGTTGGTGAGCATTCGAGAGGATCATCTCTCCCTCAATTTGACACCATAATTCCAGCATAAAATGAAATGAACACCCCACCCCCAATTTATAGTGGACACCTATACCCTTTTATTCTACAAAAATCCAATAATACCACCCTCCTATACTTTGACTAATTAAATGGAAATATTCACGTGCCTTTGGGGCCCATCGATCTTCAGCGTGTAAACTTATTAATGGGTGTCAATTGAGGCCACGTTGCACCTTTCCCCTTCATCTTTTCAATGACATTTTAGGCCAGCAACACATGAATGATTGCCTCAGGATCACTTCAATTTCCCTTAAAATTAGCACTTTTAAGGTTCAATTGATATAAGAAAAGCTAGGGAGCTACTATAAAACTTTGGGTGAAGT